TATTATGTGAAAGTGATACCATTAGTTTTGCATCCCAACTTCAGAGAGCACAGTCTCGAAGGTCTGCAGAAGTGTAAATAATAGCCATTTGTATGGACGTTTTCTGCATGAGATGGCGTAAGGAGCTTAGCTCAAGTTAAAATATTTTTAAAGACCAAAGCTGCAAAAGTAATTTTTTCATACAATTTACAAGCAACAGTTGGGTGAGGAAAAATGTCCCATCTCTCTGTTGAAGGATGTGCCTGATTCTGTCCATTTACTGCTGTTGCTCAACTTTGTGCCTGAGTGAAATTGTTTCTCCCAGAGCAGCTGACCTTCTCGTGGACTCTTTTACAGAATGCAAAATATTCAACTGGGATATTTTTAAATAAGCACTTCTGTACTGAGGTACTTAAACAAACAAACAAACAAAAAAACACCAACAATCCAGTTATAAGATAACTGGGTGCTGTGACTTGAAGTAGAAGTTGCTACATCTGTGTCCTTAAAAAAGCAGAACAAAAATGCCTGAACAGTAACACCCCTCCACCACCCAAACAAACAAACAAGACAACCCTCCTCAATTTACTCTGTCAATAGTTCAACTAGATATTTTTGCATAATGGCTGGTTGTCAGTGATCTATAATCAAAAGCACCTAACAACACTAGCACAGTGGTCTCATGATCATTTAGGTATGCCTTGGCTTCACAGTGGAAGAGTTCAGTTGAGTGCCTCACAGTGCAAGCAGCTGAGTTAGATTCAGCAACAGTAGACCTATCAAAGTTTACTGTGACTGTAAAACAGATAAAAATTAAGCATTTGAAATGAAATATGTTGGTGTCACAGAATGTTAGAGTAATTCTGTGTCAGTCTCCAAGGTTGGAACTTCTTAGAGCTGCTTCTAGTAATTATATAATAAATGAATGTATTTTGGCAAAATGTACCTTTTCAGAACTGAAAAAAGAAATCCTGTTTTACATATAACTTGCAATAAAAGACAAAGGACCTGCCAAAAATAGACATTATCATATCGTTAAATTGAAGTCAAAATGTGTCTTGATTTATACTGAGAAGAGTAGGATGGAACTTAAATCTTCTGAGTCTACAATTATCTTCTAAGAATATTTCAGCAAGTTCTAATGCTGAGGTGATGAAGATGTATAGAGCCATCAAATACTGTCCTATCTTTCATACCCTGAGCTGCTTTCCAAATCAGCTCCACAGGTTAAATGATGTTTTGCTTTCCCTAAAGGGCAGATATAAGGTTATACAAACCACTGTGAGTCTTTTCAGAGGAACGTGCTGGAGGGGTGGTCCTGCATGTGTCACTGTCATTCACTGCTCAAGCCAGACTATAAACTTCAGTCCCCTGAGGCTGATGATAATATATTTCATCAAACACCAAACTCAGTGTAAATGATTTCCCAATGAAAAGTAAGCAGAGAATGTCCTCTTATATCTGCAATTAACATGTCCCTTGCAAAAAATATTTCCATAGGAAATTAAGCTGTTGGGGGGAGGGGAGTTCTGACATACCAGTAAATGATGTAGTGACTGATTTATTATGTATATATAATAATATCTATTATTTATTTTTATATAATATATAATATAATATACAATTCAAATATATAATATTTATATATGTCAGTCACTACATCATTATATATATATTGTATTATAATATATAATATTATATATTGGTGCTGCAACGGACTATGAATGCTTCAGCCAACGGTTGTGCCTATTTTGTTGCTCCTTAGGACTTACAGAGTCGTGACAGCCTCTCATGAGCTTTCAGGGGGAAATGGAGCTCTCTGTATTTCACAGAGAAACCTGCTGGCTACTTCAGAGAAGTAATAATCAATAGTAAGCTCCACTGATTTTAAAATGCAACTTGTAAAGCAAATAGATCGTGCTCATAGGATAAGAATACAATGCTGAAGGGAGAGTAACAGTCGTAGAACAACTCTGATGAGCATCTCTGATATTCACAGTGTTCTGTAGATAAATGCTCTAAATTCTTCTATAAGAAAGAAAGAAAATCTGCTTTTGATGTTTCCACTACAGGTAGGAGGAAATAAAATATAACATACAGAATGAATCAGAGGTGGAATCAGTATCAGCAATTTGTAGGCCCCTGTCATGTGCTCAGACAGTTAAAATATTCACTTCAGCTGAAACTGTCATCACACAGATCAACCCTGAGGACTGCTAAACAGGGTTAGTCCCTGAGAGAGACAAACATATCCATTCCATTCCTTTTTTTTTTTTGAATTACAAATACTGTAAGATACAAAAGATCAAATGCTCACCGTTTTCTGCTAGGGGAGCCAAAACTTCAAAGATCATCTCTTTTTTATCATGCTCTACTTGCTTCTTGAACAGTTTCACAAGCTCTTCAGCAATGTTTGTGTAGGCAAACTGCTCTTTGCTTGACTCTGCAAAGCAAAAGTTCCATATCAAGTAAACAAACCAAATCAAAAGCTAGGATGATTTTTTTTTTTCTCTTTTTACCAGGTTTACTCAGTGAGATGACTAATAGTGCACTTCAGAGGCAAGAACAATAGACTTGTGTTTGTCACAAAAAGGAAAGAAATAGTCTAATGCTTTAAAGCAGATGTATTGCCTTCAATTATGAATAAGGCTGTTCAAAAAGATCTATGTACATGATCAAGGCTGTTGGGGCTGTTTCTGCCCAAGAGAATGTAAAGGTAGCTATAGAAACAGTAACGTTACAAAAATAAAGATGGTATTTTATTATCCCCACCTTAAGAGGAAGACTAACAGATCATATACTGTATTTTCCCTAGGAGAGATAAGAGTCATACTAAAAGTTTTAGTGTTTACATGGTCTTGTGACAGTGACCTTTCCTTTAAAATCTGTGCATGGCTGTTGCAAGGCTGTTTCATACTGCACAGATAGCATAACATAGCTTTACAACTAGGCAAGGTGGCCACAAGGAGATTATTCATCGGATTGTGGTTTTTTATGTTGTGGATTCAATAGAAGCATCTGATTCTATTGCCTATATCTGATTCCTTCTAATTGGCAGTTTTACAAGGGATGCAGATGGTGGGAATGGTGTTCTGTCTTCTCCAGTTGCCACCTCCTGAGGGCCATCTGTAATTAAATCTTCCAGCACCTTTGCTAATGCTCTAGTGGATGGTTAGAGATTATTTTAATGTAGAATTGATCGAGGACTGGGAAAAACCATAAACCTAACCTCTTTTGTGCACATCCCATTGCTGCTTTTTCAATATATATGATTACACTGCATATTCTAAGTGGATTTTTGACCTTTCTGGTATTTGAAAAGCACCACCACTCTCTCAATGTGGGTTGTTTTTTTTTTTTTTTTTTTTTTTTTTTACTTTGACATAGTTTCATATAATGCTTCCCATGGGATCTCTAGAATGCAGTTGTCACTTTTAAGTGATGAAAGATGACAACCTGACAATAAAATTCCCTGAAGTTACATGGCAAAAATAAAATATTACAGATGCAGTGTGATTGGCTAAGCTATTGCTTAAGGGAGATTTAGGTATTAAAAGCTAAATTAATTTCGTGTCAATCTTAAAGAACAAGCAGCTTTTCACTGTGCGGGAACAGGAAGGGAAGCAGCTGCTTTAAGCTTCTTTCCCATGTTAGTTGTCCAGCTGGCCAGTGCTGACTGTTCCCAAAGAGGAAAAGAAAATGTAGTTTTCAGTATCATATTTAATATCTTTATGTTTTTTGTTGTGTTTTAGTAACAGTAGAATTTCAAGCAAAGATTGTATTACTTTTTTTACTGTACAGACAGGATATGTTAGTGCTTGAACAGATCGCAATTCTTCAAGACATTACTTAAGTGCTAATGATGAATCTTTCTGTTGTTTTATTCTATTCTATTCAAACTTGCCTTCTATGTATAAAGGCATTATGTGTGTGACCAGACTAGATGAATACATAATATTCTCTCTGGCCTTCAAAACTATGAATGGAGGGCAGTTTGAATAATTTCAGGCCTTCAAATAATTCTAACTCGCAGATATCTTTTTCATATTCTGAACCACAGGATGTCCTTAGAAATGCAGGATGATAATCCCAGCTGCTATATTATACTCTAGAGTAAATGCTCTATAGAGTATAAATATATAATATAGAGTAATATAGAGTAAATATATAGAGAGTAAATATTACTCTAGAGTAAATAAAGAAATGAATAAATAGGACTAAAATTTGACCAAATTGGTTGGTAGAAGATCAACAGCAATGTAAAACAAAAGTGATAAAACATAGGCCCTAACAACCTGTTGATTTACACCTTGTTGAATCCCAGTAAAAACCTATTGGATCTAAATATCATCACCACCTTCAAATTAAATGAAGTTGTACACAAACTTGTTAAAAACCACAATCTCTGTCATGGCGTGTACACGCAAGTATGTAGTCCAGCACATGTTAAAACTCAGCGCCTAAAAGAATATTGCACAAACAGACTTATGAACTGTGCTTGTTTCAGTTTCACTCAGTGAATTCCATGGGCAAATTTAATCCTGATAGAACTTTGTGGAGCTGCACCAGGATATATTATTTATATTATTAATAAATAATTCACTATAAATAGCAGTGTTCAGGAAATACTGTTTAGATGATTTAGAATGTGCCTAGTTGCACTGAAGAGCGTTAGCATGAAACAGAAAGTATACTAAGTACCCAAATAAATCTGAGTTATTGAAGGAAAAAGAGACAACTATGGATTTCAGAGATAAGAAGCAGAAATTGCTTGCTTTAAATTTTGAATGTACCAGTAGGAATGCACTGAGACAAGACTTCTGTTAATCTTAAGAATGAACTTGAAGAAAACTAGAACTAAGTTTGAGATGAATGTTGCGGACTTACCAAGTTCTGCTAAATTGCCAAAAGCAACAAGGCACATCTCTGTCAGAGCTGCATTTTGGCAATGAATACCCAACAATTTCACTAATGTAGGAATAACACCCATATTGATAAGCTGTGATTGCAGGGTATCTATGTAAAAAGAAAGCACAACGAAGAGTTAGTATTTGTGTCTGTAGTACTGTTATTTACATCAGAACAACATTTTTCACGCAAAGTAACTCCTAGGCTAAGCAGTATTAAAACGGCTGTCTCCTCTACTATTCTACACTAGGATTTGGTCCAGGCATGGGATATGGACTCAGACTTCCCTTTTCCCCTGGTGATGGGATATATTCCTGTAATTGTTCCCTCCTGCTCTGGTGGTAAGGTAAGTTAATTATGCAGCTACTGGTGGCTCCTAATATAGTTGGGTTTGAGTCTTAGTTGACTGAGACTAGCTGAGTAAAATAAAACAAAACTACGTCAGTGAGAAACTTATTTATCTGAGAGCATGGTTCTATAAACTGTTTTGCCTTAAAGATAAAAACTGGAAAATTAAAAGTAGAATGAATATAAACTGGCACTGAAATAAACATGAGAAGTTTTATAAACATAGGAAGTCACAATGTAGATTATGAGGAGCTTGAGAAAAAAGAAAGTTTAATAAAGACACAAAATGGAAGGTTTAAGAAAAGTCCTTAGAAGCCATTCTGATAATTTCTTGCATAGGATGGTAGTTTATAGTATTTACAAGTAGGAAAGTTATTGCTCCTAGATGTCTGCAAATAGAAAGATGCTTTGATGGTTAGGCAGAAATGTGATTGTTTTAAAGGATTATTTATAACCATATTTTATCTTGAACATTACCTATAACACAGCAAAGAAGAAAAACATTGTTTCACAGTTGATTAGAATGAAGCAGACATGAACAAACCAGATATTTAGTAGATTTCTTAAGTATCTTTTTTCCTCTATTTCTAGGCACTTCAACTACATTTTAATGTTATACACTCAAAAGACAACGATCCAAAGCCTAGTGAATTCAGCAGAATTCTTTTTCTTCATTTAACTTTGGATCAAGCCCTACAGGGGAGTTTTTTTTGTTTTTGTTTTGTTTTGTTTTGTTTTCCTGAGCAGCTGAAATCAATTAGAAGTTTTATTTCTGTGGAATCAGAGCCACAGAAACTTCAGATTTTTATAGGAAGATAAAAACATCTTATAGCTGAAGTCTAGCAGATTTAGTATCATCTCATGTGCTTGGAAACCTCTTTATCTTCCAGATTCTGCCATGCATGTTTTGAAATTTTCATTAATAAAAATTACGAAAAGATTCTGGAATGTTTATTTATATTTGGTATAAGACACTCTTTGAATAACAATAAATTTGATATACTAAATAAGTTTATGTTGCAGTTATTACAGGTTATTGGGGATGAACAGGAATTCTTATGTCTTGATGTCTTTAATAAAACTCTATTTTTGACCAGTAACTGAATTTCCCTTTTTTTTTTTTTTAGGGGGTAGATGTTACCTCTTCCAGAGATTCATAATCTTTAGATAAATAGATGAGAACACCATCTGAGACATCAAAGAGCTGTTGAAGTTGTCAAATTTCAGGTAAGTACAGATTGCACTAGCGCATGCATTGAATGCCATTTTACCTCCAGCAGATGTGTGAGTCACTACAACGCCTCCTGTTTCATTCCAAACTGACTGTAAAAAATCTAACTCTGAATCAAAAAACTGAGAGGGGGAACTGGAATGGTTCTGTGGAGAAAATGTTTGTGTAGGAGAACTGAAGTTACTAGGTAAATAATCTGTTTTTCTCCTTGATTTTTGACTGTCCCTTGCAGGTGCTTAACAATTGTGAAGGAAAAATGGTAGTCATGGACAGCAGGAAAACAAAGACACAAAGGACAAATGCATAGAAAATTATGTGAAAAGAAGTTTCTTCATTACTAGACTATGCTTCTATCTCTTTGAGTAATCTCTATGGGCTTCATTTAGCAAAGCGTTCTGACATCAGAAACATAAACTCTGTACTGTGAGTAGTGTTTTGTTTTGTTTTTTTTAACACAATAGATAGAAAAAATCGAAGGGGCAAAAAACAAATGAGGAAGAGGGAAATCATATCCATCCTTAAAAGGAAAAAGGAATCGTAAGAGCCAAATAGAAGGATATAGTTTAAGAGAGCATGGAGCGCATTAGTTTAAAGGACTCCATAATTCCTAAAGAGGAATAAAGGAAAAAGAAAATACACCATCAAGGAATAATTGTACTAGGTCAAAACTCACATATTGTATCTGATTCCATGCCAGCTTTTTTCCCTGGTGGAAGAATAGCATCTGAGGACTAGCCTACAGTGTAGAAAAGCGTGAACAGGAATTGCCAAAAAGGGAAAATCTAGGCTTGATATTGACATCTTACCACAGTAAGCAGAAGGATATACTTTTTCCTCACAAAGACACGACAACCTCATGAGTCACAAAGCCACATGGGAGGCAAAACCTGGAATAACTGCATAACCTCAGCCCTTCACTGCATGAAGTGCTAGGGCCCTATTAGAGCAGGAGGCAACCTCAGGGAAAACATGCATCTGTCTTACAAGCAGCTCTCTGATGTAGGGCTGAACCAAAGCTCAAGGCCAGGCAACATCACGTCTCAGCATTTCTATCAGCTTCCTAAGCAGAGCTGGATGCATGCTAAACAGGAAGCATGAAAACCTGAATGCCTCTTCAGAATTTGACTTAAAGTCAGAAAAAAAACTCTCTCATTATGCTGCTATCAAATATTGCACTGGAAAAATGCCTGTGTTCTCTCGGGGCTGAAAAGCACTGATAGTGATGCTGCACAGATGCATATACAGGTAGATAAAAGGCAATCAATACATGCGCCAGCACAAATAGTTACCTACCTAAAACTTGAATTTCAATGGCTCCGTGTCCTTCGGTGACACACATGGAAACTCCAAAGAGTAAGATCTGAGGAGAATATCCCAAATTGAGAACTTTACTGGGGGCATTTGAATTCAAAATGCTGATTTAGGCTACTGCTTGATGTTGGACAAAATTTCAGAAAACATCCAGTCATCATGTTTCGTTACTAAGTGTTTATATCACTAAAGGAAAATCTGTTTTCTACAAATAGGTGGCATAAGTTAATAACCTATAAAAGTAATTATATAGTAAATTATATCACTATCTTAAAAAAAGTTAATCTGCTTTTACATGCTTTAGGTTTCTTTGCATTTAAAGTATATTTAGATTTTGAAAGCACACTATACAGCAGTGATGAAATGAAACAAAAACTATGGCAAGCATGAAAATTAGCAAAGTTAAGTCTTAGAAGGAAGCATTGCTGAAATATTGCTATTAGACCATAATCGTGGAACAGTAAGTCTTCCTTTCATTCTTTTCATTCTTTGTATATTGACATAGATTCTGCAGACAGTAAACAATGCAAGACAGTCCCCAGTCTTTATTTCAGTCACTGAGAGTTTTGTGATCATAGGAAAAGGTTGGCAGATTTATGGCTTAACATCATCACTTTACATTTTAAAAAGTCGCTGCATGAAATAGACAACCTTGACAGACTGAATTTTAATATGAAATGAAATGAGAAAGTAGTCTATAAACAGAATTATTTTTTCTCTGTTGTTTCACACATGCATACTGTATTCAGTTGATTTCTGATCTATAATTTGATGACCTAAGAATCCAATTGACCTAATTCTCAATCACTTCTACATTTCTTTGGAAGTATTTTCATGGTCTGTTTTGCAAATCTCGTGAGACAGTCAGCTACTTTACAGACTAATCCCATTAACTTGTAACTAGTCTTAGCCTACAGGATTATGATAACTGCAGAATAACCATTTGTCACTAACTCTTTTATGTGGCTGTTTGCATATGATTGTTAGTTGTTAGTTTTTCACTCTTTATCCAAGCCTGCTTTGCCTCTTGCTGTTAAGCAGATCCATAGCTATACAGAGACTATATGTAACAATATGTCTTCAGAATGGGAGAAGCACAACGCTATGCTGAACGCACAAAGGTGCCAAAACAGCTGTTGCATGTCTTGACAAAGAAAGAACTGTTACAGGCTTTTGCCAAGACTTACTTAACAGAAGTACAGCATGAGGAAAACCATTCACAAATGTGTGGCACACTTGTCCCATTCCTGGCCATGCCTACAACTCTGCCTTTTGAGAACTGATAATGGAAAGCAGGGATGAGAAATTTGCATCTGACTGAATTCCAGTAGTAAAACAGAATTATAGCTGAGAGGGGTTGAGATAATCTATACGGAAGACAAAGGGATGTATCCCATCAAAAAATCCCTGTTTTCTAGCAATACAATTAAAAATCAACACTTTTTTTTTTTTTTTAAAAAAAAAAAAAAAAAGCTTAGAAGTGCAAGAGATGCCAAAGCCAAGTTTGTTCTGTTAACATTGTAGCACCTAATGAAATGGTAAGCTACTATGGAAGCAAAGGAAAGAAGTGAGAGACATCAGGCAAAAATAATTTTAGAACATGAGCAGATAGCACAAGAACCTTATGAAGAGAATCTGAGTTTTAAAGCTTAGACAACAACATTATGAATGAAGCTACAATTGCAGAACCAGCACAACGTATAAGAATGCTAGATTAACTTGCTCTGTTTAGGAAAATAAAATATTACTCATAGCTGCTCTTTAGTTGCCATTTTTGTAAAATTCATGTGTGGTAAACGCCCTATGCTAATTAAAAAATGTGAAGCACTTAAGAACGAATCTTTAACGTCAAAAAAATAAGGTAGTTAATTGCTATTAAAAATAGTGCAGTTGCTATTGTAAAAAGAAGGCAATTAGTATACTGTGAACAGTGAGATGTTTAGAATCAAATAAACAATTTATATGCTCCTTGCTCATAAATTGCGAAGGATTGGAAAATATTAGGGTGTTCACAGATAATTATATGCAACTAAACCAAATGCACTGTAATCATCCTTATCTGGATAGCTAGTGCAACTTCAGAGAGCGTGAGTCATTAGCGGAGGTAAGGAAATCTTCAAAGTCCCCACCTGTAACTTGGTAACATAGCATGCTGAGCAGGAAAAGATTACAGAAACAGTAAAAACAGAAAGTGCTGTTTCAAAGACTGAAACACTTTTCTTCTCACGCTTCCAATTTTTTTTTTTTTGGTCCAATTTGTTTCCATAACTACGAGTACAGCAATCTAAGACCCTAGGACACAATCCCATATTCTCATTCTACAGTACAATTAGTACAGTGTTTGTCTTCTTTGGAAGTAACACAGGATTGAGCTTTTGCAAGTAAATTGTGAAAACAGCACCAGCTAATCTGTGAGTAAATTCCCTGTCAGAGCAACCTGAGTTTTTCATCTTTAACAAATCAGTGAAAAATTGCACTTACTCAGCATATTATCCAACTGATGCTGCAATACATGGAAGTAAGTGGTTTTCTTGGGCTCCTATTTGACATTTGTCTTGAAAATTTAACATGGTTGGCAGATAGTATTTTTATAGCAGTTCACAACAGTTGTGCAGCTGTATTTGTGGCTCCTAAAACAAATCTGGAAAGCAGGCCAACCACCTGTCTCTCCATACACATACTGCACATACAGTCACCGAGTTTTCTTCCTAAAATTGTATCTTATAATTATTTTTTTTTTCCTTGGCAGATTATTCAGGGTTCATTTTAGTTTTTGCCACAGCTCGGGGGCAGATTCACCGATTACAGTGGAGCTACAGAACATGAGTCTTACATGACATAGCAATGGGTCCCTATGGAAAGCCCTTACAGAGACACCAGGTATGTGGGGTGAAGGTGAGGGTTGGTAAGCCTCCAGCATTCCTCCTTGATGTGGTGTTAGCACAGAGTGGAGATCTGCACCCAGATCTAGGAGCTGGGAGTATTTCATGTTTCTGACCCGCTTCAGTGGCTGCTCTGACCGTTGCATCAGTTTGTTAGTTGATGTGAAATGAAAGATGTCTTTTAGCAGAGCAGAGAACAGCTAGTGAATCCTCCTAGTTGTCACTGAACTACACAACTGCTTTATAGATTCCATGAGAATAAGCCAGCTTACTAGATGGGATGAGTCGTTCACTCCATCTTTAAAACAGTCAAACTGTTGTTGCGGAGATTTGTCTCCTAATTAGTTTACCTATGGAAGACTTGCTAAGAACTTGGGTCTCTGAAGCAAAACTGTTGCAGTATCTCTGCACGGCACTTTGGAACTGGTCTGTCTTGAACTACAAAGTATACTGGAAGCTTGCTAGTCTTAATGCAGAGAATCATGGAAGCTTATAGATTTACATGGAAGCTTTTTCTTATGAAAATATATTTGCTCTACATGTTTAAACAAATAAAGAAAATAATGGAGTTAACACTATAAAATTTGGAAACATATGACACACAGACATCAAGAAAAACAGTTCCTGAAGACTATGAAATAAAGGAGCTGGACAGTTGTTATTTGCTGAATAAGGCAGAAGTACTATAAAGAAGTATTCTTCAATATTACTAGGAAAAGAGGATAGAAAAATAATACAAGAACAAGAGAAAGACATGAGACACATACAACGATGGCATTTGGAGGTGGAAAGATCTGAGATAAGACAAGAGAGATCTGGAGAGATGGTGAAGAAAATGTGTGAGAAAAAAACTATACCAGAAGAGATGATAAAGTAGATTAAAAATTTATACAATAAAGGTCAAAAAATTAAGCCTAAGGACCTTCCTGAAAAGCAGAAGAGTTGGGGACACAGGTTTGGGAAATGAGTCACAGGAAGTGCTAAGTTACTATGGTAAAGAAACAGGGAATTGCTAATAAAGAAGCTATTTTTTCATCAGACAAAGCACTACAAATCAGGAGATGAGCATGATTGAAGGAACAGTACGATTAGCTATCTACATTTGCAATCCGTGCCATTACAAGTCAGGAGAACAGCCTCTATTTAGCTTTCCTCACTTCTCCCCATTTTCTTAAAAATTCCCATTTAGAAAAACTCGGAAGTGAGTGATTGCTACAAAATTTGCCTTGGCATTATTACCACACTTGCATGCAGAAGCAAACTAGGCACTAAAATACCAGGACGTTTGTACAGCTAACGTTGAACGCTGCCTTCTATGCCTCAGTGGTCTAGGATTTTTAACTTTAGCTACTATCTTGTTTTGTTGTCCCAGCCCTAAACACTTCCGCTTAGTGTGAAGGCACATACTGGCAGGCACAGATTAGTGCTGGATATACACATAAATTATTCCCCATATGTAACACAGGTAACATGTGGTTTTGCATACATTTCTCAAGGAGAAAATGGTTAAGAAAAACCTGTATATTTAATCCAGATTATCAACAAAACAATACTGTGTGCCTGAGAAAAACCAATATTATAGTGCCATTTGATATTAAATGAAAAAGAGGATGCAATGTAGCCTAGTTTACTTCTGCAAATCTGTTTCTTCCTCAGGTGTATGATGCATCTATATGTATTGCTTTTAGATACAAGTGAATTCCAGATGGTGATTTAAAAACTTTATACTATTAGGAATTGCCTCAGGAAGACATCAAGTATTTCTTGGAATGTAATTGTACTGAAACAGAAAATTGCATATGTAAATCGAGGTGGTTATCTTTTAAAATAATTTAGAGTTGGTTTCTACAACATAAACCTACAGTTGGCTTTAATGTTTATCTTTTTTCGGTTTTGGATGGGGTTGTTCTCCTGGTAGACATAAAGCAAGTTTTTCGTGTTGTTTACCATTCTCATTGCTATAGTTCATCAGCATGCCACAAAAGACAGTCAAGAGCTTCTCACTGGCTGGATCTGTTTTACTGCACAGCGACCTTATAAGGTCTACTACAATATGTGCACCACCTGCATGGTCAACTGCGTTCCTGCCCTCATCTGTAAAACAAAGAGTTACATTAAAAATAAATGAAACCAAAACCCACCACAGAACCCCGAACATCACAGTAATCATACAAAGCCAACTTTTTAAACAGTGAAGTCATTTCTTCAGTGTTGTCAAATTCCTCTATAAAGACTCTTGAAGGCCAGCTTTTAGTGCAACAGAGCTGGGAAAGTGAGAACACCTACAACAAAATGGATTAACCACTTGGCACTAATACCTTTGTACAGATGTTTAGTTTGATGCAGAGGCCCTGAAGCTGAAAAATAATCTTCAGATGATGCATTGGATTTTGCCAGAGGAAGGTTCTGAGCATTTACAAAATAAAGTGCACGTATCCTGAAGGCTTTGTGGACAAGCCAAATGACTCCTACTGCTATGTGGATTGAGAAATTGAAATAAAGAACAACCTGCTCCCTTGAGCAAGGGCATATGGGAAAAAAATGGAAAAGCAAATCAGAGGTACCAACTCACTGGCACACAGCGTGTTCTTCATATTTCCATACCTGGAATTTAGTACCACTATCAGATTGTTTTTGGCTGAAAGAAAACTCATTCTCATCTGCAATATACTATAGTGTTCTGAAGTTTCATAAATAACACACTATAGTCTTTGTATGGAACTCTCTGTATAACAAATCCACTTTGATGTATCAGTGTATGAATAAAAGAAAAATTGTCCTTTATTACAGTAACCAACTATACTGCTTCCTTTCCCAGCAGGCAGTAGACAACAATCAATAACCTTAATTGCATGGCTACTAAAAGCAGAGATTTCCTAGTGAGTTACAATTGGAATCAACTGGAAAATCTGGATGAAAACTTACACTGCTCCTCAGTCCTCTAATTCTTAATGGTCCAACAGCAGATCTCATCTTTCCTTTGCTATTCTGCACTCTTAACAACACTCTTCTATCCCCATAATGGAGATGCTTGGAGATTTAGCTATTAAGTTTTCCCAATTCTGCAACACGTGCAGCACGAATACCAAGGTTGTTCTCATTTATAATATGATCTTCCACTAAAAATTGGTCTAGAGCTCTTCAAAAAGTTTCTGAATCTTCCAGTTGTTGTTAATAGCATTTAAAAGGGGCATATTGCATTAGAATGTAAGGGGTATAAGAGGAACAGTGTATTAATTTTACAGAAAAATATATAATTAATATATATATCTAAATAAAGGGTTATAACTATAGTTTTATATATATGAATACTCTCTGTATATACAGTATAGCATGTATATATAGCTATATATATATGCACTCTTCTATAGTTATAACCATTTGTATGTATAAAGGAAGGTATATATATATATGTATAGATAGATATAGGGACTTCAGATAATGTACTGAGTGGAGCTGGAATGGGAAGAGAAATTCTTGGTGGATCTAAACTGTTTAGTTTATTACCACACTAGTGAGTGTTTTGCAGAGTATCCATGAAATTGGACACGTAGCAGAGGAAAAAAGTCGTTGACTGTTTCCATTCCTGACCTGATCAGGACGCTAGGGAACTGTGATTCGCTCCAGGTATGTATAGTTCATTTTGAAAAATTAGAAACTAGAATCTGTTTAAAGTCAAATCTGTTTAAATTCAAGATAATAAGGTCTGTCAAGGATGGTGTATGAAAAATGGAGAAATACAAAAGCAGTAAACCTCTCACTTCCCTGATGCATTGACAGACATGGGCGTAATGCTGAAATTAAATACAATTCTACATCATAATATAATATGGCAGCGTAGTTATTCAAATTAGGTGCTTATGTTTATCAAATTAACAGAGAAAAAAAAACTTAAAAAATATTCCAGCATACTGTTTTATGTATCTTCTGGAATTTTTTTGATTGCAGATATAATATATGATTTCGTATATGACTCACCTTTTTTGTGAGTCAAAACTGGTGTGCAAAACAGAATTGAATTGCTGATTCTGCATCAAATAGACTGACTGTGGTATTCAAGTTACTGTAATACAATTAAAACCATCAAAGTAAAACCATGATAAAATTGAGCTTGTGATAAAAATCAGTTGTCAAACTAGTTACGTGTCTTGGTATGGAACTGCACATAAAATACTTTGGCAAAGGTGTAGTCTGGTGAGTTTAGATGCAAAAATTAAGAAAAAAAGGGGAAAAAAGAAAAAGACCATAAACCAACAAAAAAGCAGTTATAAGCCAAGTTCCTTACCTGGATAGAATTTGACATAACTCCACTGAAAGTTATCGTGTGATAATACCTTAGAACAAATGAAGATCTGAACATCCTTCTAGTTCTGTTTTCTCTCTGGTTTGTCAGAGAAGCGATATATCAAAACCAGCTATATCTATATCTTTCAGTACATGGTAGTCTCTCACTTCAATGTATGATACATTTTTTTTTATCCTCACCATGTTTTTATTATGTAGATAGATAATCAGCTTTCACGGTACCAACAGCAAAACTAAGGCAGAAAGATATAGCAACAGATCTCACTCTGAGAAATAAGATACATATAGCATACTCCAAATGTATGGTAAAATGAACTGCAGGATCACCTCCCCAGGTAGGTGGCTGGATCTAAGTGCCAGCTTTGGTAGTCTGAAGTAGAAAATGTGCCTTAATTGAGTTTATTGCTGTATCTCTTTTGTTGCTGCATCTCTTTCCCATGCTAGGCTCATCTTGTATAGCTGCTTTTCTGCCCAAAGCAGCTTGGTGAAGAGCAGACCTGCGCTGGTGCTATAATTACAAACTCCTGGTGCTGCCTCCTTATGCCTCAGAGGTTTAACGCAGCTCATTAGTGGAGGGCCACAAAGAACTCCATACCAGGTGTAGGAGGAAAACTCAGAAGGTCCTGACTACTCACTCCAAGCTCAGGCTATGACAGTCAGTTGCATCCCCAAGCAAAAAGCGTATTTCTGACTCAGAGTACTCCATGTGCTTATGTGGCCTCACTTCTTCCTGCTTTGTCTCTAAGAAACAGATTTTGCACACAAGAATACCAAACTCCAAATCATTTACAGTCAAAACAAGACCACAGCATGCTGCTGTGTCTTGTTCTCAGTCCAACTATTACCTTGTAGTTCAGCAGCTCTATGAACTCCCACTCTCAAAACGCTTCCAGCCTCCCAGAAGCGGTGTTCAAGTTTATTCCTGTGACCTTTTTAAATAAACATTTGCTGTTCCTATGAGACCAACGTTTGAACAGTTTAATGAGCATTCACAGTTTTACTTTAAAATGTTTCAGTAGAGCTCACAAAGGGCAATGATGTTGCATTATTACTTTTTTTTAGTAAACATGATACTGTTCAAAGATGCCAAAATGACAACAACCCAAGAGAGGAGAGAGATGGTTTTCTTCCTACAATGAAATGTATAGTGAGATTTATTATAGAACAAGTCGCTATTTCCCCAGTGTCCTTTAGTCCAACACAACTATCTCTAAGAATGACTAGAGTCTCTTTTTCTATCCTTAATTACTCTCAGGGGTTTTATGCAGAACTGGGTTTTAATATAGACTATCAAATTACTGTGATGGCTCTCATGCCTCCTATGCAGACATCTGTCAAATTTCATTGTGGCCCTCTCTTATAGGATCTCAGGGATGCACCAGCCAAAGAGCAAAATTTTTGTAGTTCCTGACTAGAAGATCTTTAAAACTCAGGGTAAGGTGCCTTCTATACTTGTTCTCCTTGAATGCTGCCTTGGAAGATGCAGCAAGCCTATGCAAAACCTCTCTATGGCAGCTCTTTATTTCTCAAAGGGCTCTCAACTTCTCTTCATTGAGGATTGGTTTCTTCAGGACCCATGCTTGGCTCTCCTCCAGGCTGGGATTATTTGTCAGAGGGGTTGTCATATACATTAGAACCTATAGCTGTTCAGCCTTCATTTACTGAAAAAACTGGTGCAAACTTTTCTACCATCTGATCAAATCTTTGCTTTCATACTGCAGAGTATCTTCTATGTCTGCCCTCCGTTCATGTGATTTGTCTGCTCTTCATTCAGTGATATGTAACGCAGAAAGTTTCTCCTCCAACCATGGAAGACCTTCAGGAAAAATATAAAGGTACTGCCATACAGCTGGAGTGTGACCAATATCCACAAGTAGAATAACATCTTATGATAGATAATACAGAAATTATTTTCTATGCACTTAATATGTTCTCAGGTGTCTGACAGAGCTGCAGAAATTCAGATGCAGTCTGTCAGTTTTGCATTCTTTGTGGCCAAAATATTGCTTAGGCTGAACCAAGGTTTTATGGAGAATATTATTTTAATATAAGATGAATTTGCAGTAGTCCTAGGGAGGAGGGGGAAGAGTTCTTTCTTCATGTTCTGTTTTCATTTTCTTCTTTTTTTTATGGGACCCATTTGTGTAGTTGTTTCTTTTTCACCATACATCTGCTTCTAGTGCTTATTCTTTCACCTGAAATCATAATTTTCTGTGACATCAAACTGGTTGTTGCAGAGAAAATGATGATGTGACATTCATAAAATTATGAGTACATGTGGTAAAAAAACAAGCCAAACAACAGGAGCAGAACTCTGAAGGAAGAAAGGGCCCACTTCCATGCTTTAAGTAAGAAAATGAAAGAAAATTTAAAAATTTTGGGGCAAACCCTTTCCTAGCATAAAGCACGCTATATGTGCAGATATTAGGAAAACCTTAATTACTTGAATTAACTGGGAGTTTACTATTACATTTTTCTATTTCATCATTTTGATGGTGAAACTTGTAATGCAATGCTGCTATTCAATTTTAATACTTAATACTTAACTAGGCCTTTCATCTTGTTTGTGTATGCTTTTAAATCAGAGGATTCTGCGCTCTTAGTTCTTTGCAGTCTACAACCCCACTGCAGAACACAGAGCAGCATTCCATTAATTTTATTTTTTCAAGGAAAGTAATTTCATGAAATTATATTGCACTGACGGTATTGTTTGCTGCTTTTTTTCTGCATCTTCTTTGCACTTGTCTACAAGCAACAGGGCATGGCAACACTGTACTTTGGTATTAATGTTTTATGACTTGAATGGTCAAATTGATTTGGGATTGCTCAATTTGTACTGAAGTTCCTTTCCATTTATTTAATTACTTCAGGGATAATATAAATGTGATTACCAGAAGTACTTTTTTAAAAATTTGCTTGTTGATTAAAATCAATGACTATAGTCTTAATTTTTTTCTTTAATGAAGAAAAAACTCATCCTCAATTAGCCATGCCTGCTGCCAAGAGCAATACAAATCTTGTAGTTAGTTATCTCAAATTGCCAGCACTTATCATTGGTTCTAACTCCAGTTCTAACTCCACCTTCATTGAGGGTGCCGCATTAAAAAATGACTGCTAAAATAGTAAAGAGGTGAACAATAAGCTTGAAATGCAAACAGAAAACTGTATTTTAATACAATGTCTTCAAAGACTGAAAAGGTGTAGCATCAGTCTTCCTGGATAAAATCGCTGCCAGCATATGTGCTGGGTAGTGACAACTGAAGCAGTGGTGTATGGGCCCAGGGGCTGCTACCAGACACAGAAGCCTTGTTCAGCTCAGGTACTGGACTGGCAGATGAAGGACAAAACAGCTACTAAAATAAACTGTCAGGTGCTCACTAGCACTCACACAACTGCTTTATTTCAACAAATCACTTTAAAAAATGTTCCAACTGAAAACCTAGTGATATTTTTGGAAGATTTATTATATGTTAAATTTTGAGTGCCCTGTAGGGCATCAGTGCTAACAAGCCTTCCTCTCCCTTGACAAGTATCATGGAATTTCAGTCAGGAGTTCGGCTGAACATTTGAAGGGACAGGCGAATGTGACAGTATCACAGTGTCCCTCGTGTAATGCTGTGGCAATAGCCAGAGGCAAGCCACACTGAAATTCTCAATTGATTTCCAAAAGCTATCTTGTTTTTTCCAATTCTTCTTCTCTCAGGTACAAGATAAATCACCTGTTTCTAATTTCAGTCAAAAGAACAAACATAGTTCCACTCATGAATTCTGTTAAAAAGCAAGGAAACCAAACAGTATGAAAAAGCTAAAGTAGCTAAGCCTAAGACAGGCAAGGGGCCTCCTGGCTTAAGTGCAGCAGTTCTCTCTGCCTTCCTTCCCACTTGAAATGCTCACAGCAGATTCTTCTGCTGATTTGCTAAGTCCACGCAACTCCTGAGTAATTGCACTGCAGCCAAAACAAATTACTCTAGGTTTATGAGAGTGTAAGTCACAACTAAATCCAGCCTATGCTTTTTACTTATGTATTATAAAATAAATAATGGAATCCAATTATACCATAACTCATCAAGCAGTTTTCCTACAATGGTAGGTGGGCATTTATAGCATCCCATGCTATTAACAGAATAAACCTGCATGCATTTAGATTTAGATTTCTCAGCTTCATCTGGCCACGAGCAAGGATCTGAGTAGACCAAAACCAAATGCCAAGCAGAGATTTTCTGCTGGGTGCTGCTGAAAGGAGCTCAGCATGAAGCTGAGCCTGGCATTGTGCAGGAGCAGTGCTGACAGCTAAAAGGAGCTGTGGTCCTCCAGTAAAGCAGTCAGAGAGGCAAATTCAAAGTGTGTGACCTACAGGGGTTTGAAATAAGGCCAAGAGGCAAAAAGCAAAACTGACTAACGAACATCACAAAAAAACATCACAAAGCACGTTTGCAGATCTTACTAGGCCCTGAGTAGTGAGGAATCAAGTGCCCTCGGAAAAGCTGTGGAGAGTCTTGGGTTTGGTTGGGTTTGGGGTAGTGCTGCCTTTGCCCAACAGTATGCAGCTGTAGGGAGCGAGATCTGGCCTTCAAAGGGAGCAGCGTTCAGCCTGGTGACTGTAGGAGATGCTTCAATTTCAAGGGTTGCAGCTTGAGAAAGACCAGTAAAGTCTTTTGTTTTAGGAAATCTTTTACCTCCTTAGCAGAAGGCCGTTCACTGATTTGACTTTAGGGCATCAAGGAACATAAGGTGACTGTAGAACAGACCACACTCAGGAGGCGAGGTGCTAAGATGTCATTGGTAAATGAACTGGACACCATCTCAGGTAAGTAACCCCTCTGCAAGGAAGTAGGTACAGCTCTAGATAGCCTTCTCACACCCACCCTGACTCCTCAGGCTATTCTGCTGGCTGGACAACTGACAAAATGAGCAGCAGCCTCAGGATTAAGGGCGATGTTGGAATGTGAATAAAGCACAAACTTTAAAGACTGTGAATGAAATGCAGGAGGGGGATAAAGTAAAGAACTGGAAAAAGTCTGCTTTGTTTCTCACTTTTATAGTCTTGGTTCCTGTACTGACAGAATACTGATCTACATATTCCAATAATCTTCCTGGAAAAAATAAGGAAAAGGAAAAAAAACAGCATTGCAGAAAATATAGAGGACTCTTCATACCTGAACTCTTTGAAACGCAAGAAAATCAGTCTCAACTATTCATTTTAAAGACATGAAGAAGAAAGTGCAAATACATGGTAAATTGCATTTATTAATTTACTTTTCTTATGTGGGCTGCTTTTAAGTTTTGGCTTAAGTCATAAGAATTTAGTCACTTGTCTCAATACGGTCAATATGTAGAACATAAGTTTGAAAAGAGTAATAGCCTTAGAAGGAGAATTCATGTTTTTGTCACCCTTCAAATGGCTCTTTCCAGTGCTCTAGGAAGATTTATTCTGATTCCATTTTAGACAACCATAAATTAAAATTATATTGTTTAATAGCTTCCTAAGAACATTCGTGACTAATTGCTGATAAGTACTAAATATTACTGTGAAAATATCTGTTGGCATGCATATGGTATGCTTGGTTTCTAGCTGATGCAATGCTTGTTCTGCTGAGGGTTCGAAAAAATACTGCATTATCAGGGACTCCTAGGTTAAAAAATACAGCATAGTTTTCTAAGACTCAGGCACTGCTTAGAGAGGTAACACAGTATTGCTGCACTATGAAAATTAGAATTTGACACCTCTCTCTGTAAACAATCAATTTTCAAGCAATTAGTTACAACCTTTGGTCTCAATTTCATGATACTGCTTGATTCGTAGGTGGTATTTGCATTTGTTAAGGTCTGATACAAAGAAAAGTGAAAGATTGTGGTAAGATGCTGCCTCGCTGCATGAATCAGGGTGACTTTCATAAAAATAATTAGCCACTAGTATGCCATTATCAACACCAGTTGCATTTTAGGATTCTGCTGTTTTTCCATATGGTACTATGAAAGGCTATGCCATTTTTTTGAAGAAGAATGAATTTGATGCGTTTTCAGTATGCTTAATTCTTAAGTGTCTGGTTTTCAGCTTTAGATCCTGAAATTAAACTTGTCTTCTGAAAGATGTATGAAATTGTACAGTTGAGTAGTTTTGTGTTTTTTGTAAATAGCCTTCCTTCTGCAAGAGGTCTGTACATCCTTCTAGGATGGGCAGCCAAGTGTACGGAATACATAGCATCCCAGTTCTTTTGAACATAAGAGGTGGCATATTGTTTGTGGTCTAATGTTAAGGGTGGGATCAAGACAGATTTGGGTCTGTGTGAGAAGCCACAGAGGTCTTGCCATTAGTGCAGTATGACTAGGTTGATAGAAATGTATGACTTGGGAAACAAGAGAAGGATCCAGTGCATATCCTGCAGAAAAGCAGCTGTCAGAAGGCAGCCCTTACAGAATAAGTTGGCATTTTTAATTTCTCTCAAGTTCTACAGTTATTTATATCATGAACTGTGGTTGGTGAAAACATGCATGCATGCTGGTGGTTTTGTGAAAAAACAAGGGACCAAATGGAGTAAATAGCAGTTGATCTGAGGATCCCTGAAGAGGTCTCTAACCTCTACCATTAATATGCATTTTATAGAAGTGCAGAATGGGATTTTTTTCATTTCTCTTATAAGATACATAGAGGGTTTATTTCACTGTGAAAGCTTTCAGAGTATTTAGATGTTCTGAACAGCAAGAACGAATTATTTCATAATGGGTAAAATCCTGTCTCAACTGAAGTCAACATGAATTACTCATTTTCATTTTTTGTGGTTTACAAATCAAGCTCTGAATATCCTAGCTTTTCACCACCTCTTATAATTATCACTTTAATATTACAATTACAGTACTTCCTACAGTGTGCTCAGTGTTGTATACAAATGTGGGAAAGTAGTCTGTCAACCAATCAGTTCAAAACTGGAGTGTTTTTCACACATGCTCATGCGGATCTTGGTTTTTGTAGCAAGAACTGTATTATGTTAAATAACCTTTCTCAATCAGTGGAGATGGTTTCATATGCAATATTTAGATCTCAAGATGTAAGGGGAACCTTTTGGACTTCTGGAAGTATGCTCTAAAATACCTGTAAGACCTATACATCTATAACAGCTCTAAAAAAAGAAACATCTGGGAAGAATGACATGGGGTTTTTGGAAAGGAGAACAGTAGGAAGGTAGCTTTGATTTATTTCATGGGGAAAGAGTGGCAAAGCAACTACAAGATAGGTCCTATGTTCTGACTAGACAATGCCTAAGAATTTAGCTTTGCTTGTAAGCAGAAAGTAGCTGGTGGTAAAAAGGAATGAGTGGGCTAGGATTTTTCTATCTAGTAATAAAATTAAGACAAAATTCTGCTCCTGAGTGAGGCTGTGGAATCCATTGTCTGGGCATACAGAGGTTGAAGTGACTGTATTTGGTATAGGCTGTAGTTGTAGTGGGAGAGAAAGCAGGTGGGAGAATGAAGAGGATCACACCTCCATTTCTTTGCAGTTTTTGCTTTGACCAAGATTTGGGGAGCAAAGTGAATGTGGCATAACTACATAAATCATTTAGAACAGTTACAGGCTGTACAGGAACATGCAGTAATGTATCTGTTCTTAAACTGTAGGACAGCATGGAACAGTTTGCATAGTGTGGTTGTTCCTGAGGTAAAATCTTTTTGGCTGCCTCAATTGTTTCCTTCCTATGCCTATCAGAGGAAGGCTGGGAGACTAGAAGCCTCATCAGAACTAACAAAACTTTCTTCTACTCTGCTTTGCAGTTATATTTGCCTGTATTGGTGATGTTTAGAGACTACATAAAGGAGGTATTTTCACAACATAAAAGCTTTAAGAAGGATGCTCTCATGGCTGCTTGGGATAAATTTGACCTATTTTTTTCTCTTTAATTGTTTATGAAATGCATTTTATTGTTGGTTTTTTTTTTTCTTCCCTTCTCAAAGAGTTTATTCAGCATTATTTTTAGGGGCCTAAAATTGGGGATCACATAGATGATAACACTGTGCATGTTACCCCAAACATAATGGAGAAGAGAATCCATCACTAAGTAACAGCTTCTATTTCACGTTTTCAGTAAGGAAATCTTTCAGTATAATGTCTGGCCAGGAGGTTTGTAATTCCCATTTCTTTGTGGAAGGGTATTAAACCTGAGCATTTGGATTTAGCAATGGATACCTCTCCCACAGCAGCAGTGTTTCAGAAGTATCCAGTGGAAATGGCCTTGCCTTCATGCAGGAGATCTGAGAAACAGTGTCATTTTAATTTTATCAAGAGAAAATTATTAGGGAATTGTCCTTCTCTGCATGGTCATTTTGTTGGGGCTTTCCCCACAGAAAACAAACAAACAAACAAACAATAAAACACAACCAAAACACTTTACTCATAGCTTTCATCCTGCATTGTACAGATTTCCCTCCAAAACAAAGACTTTATTAGCTCCCTTTGTCACTGACAAAACATTATGTTCTTGTTGATGTGAAATAGAGGATATTTGGGGCTTCCAATAAATAGAAATGTTGCTATGAGCTATTCAATATGGGCTTGATTTCAGACTTTTAGCCTAACACTGATTTAGGACTTTTAGAATGTTTTCCATTGTTGCATGCTATAATTGTATGGCTGTGGAAGTGAAAAAATAGTCATGCACATGGTAAAATAGAGTTCCTGAGGTATTTTGGGTTTCTGCGGCAGTCCCAGTTATCAGAAAAGTGACATCTGCTTTTGTGTCAGCTGAAAAGAAAAAGATGATCTATACAAAATGTCTGATTAGAACATGATTAGAAATATTGTCCTCCACATCTTGTCTTTGCTATATATTAAATATCTTTGTTAGGGAAAAGTAATTTATATAAAAATAAATAAGTCATAAATGAGAATATACTAAATTTTATGGTAATAAGCATATTTAAAGTACTTGTCTTCAGTAAGATTCTAGGATAAGTTATAGAATCATTACACTTTAAGATAACAATCAAAACAAAGCAGGATAGGGTGGATGCGATAAATAGGTTCCATGAATAGCCTCTTCCACTTAAATCAGAGATGCTGATTTGATTTTTGTGGTATTTTATTACAGCCTGTTCGTGATTCTTATTTAAATGCACAGGGAGGGCTGTGACTGTCCTACAGGACTGCAGCAATACAAGGCATACAGAACATATCACTGTGCTGTAGGTTTTTGTTCCACAAAAAGGCAGCATGAGGCATATAGTGCAACATTTTCTGTGCTGTGTAAGTCCTGCACTGTAAAAGCAAGAAGCAATCCTCATCACCCGATATTTGAAAACCATTTTCGTGTTTGCTTATTATATTTCATGTAAAATTGTGGGTTGAACAAACAATGACATGAGTAGTTACACAGATTTTACCAACGTGAAATAAATCACTGCAACCTGGGACTGAGCTTTATATCACATATGACCCTGAAATAAAATTTAGTAAGTAAAATGTTATGGAAAGCTCAATAGTTTCATCTTGAAGTTTCCACAGGGAAGCAGGTGTTCAGTTGATTGGTCACCTTAAACAAAACCCTAAATGAAAGAATTAAGTATTATCATCCTGAAGTGGTAGCTGTCTGTAAATGAAAACACCAGCATGGAAAATCTGATGAGCTTCCCCGAGGTCAGAGACAAGATAAGTAATTTCAAACAAGATTAAATGCAAATTTCCAAACTAGCTTGAAAAAAATTGTAAGACGCTACCAATAATTCCAGTTTTGAAAGACAGCAATTCAGAACAGCAAAAACTTTTAGCAGATGCAAAATGTATCACAAAGAAAAACTCTTGCAATGTGACATAAAACACTAAATCTGAAGATAATGAAGTGCTTATGCAATTGCATTTCACTTCCCATATGCAGACATCCATAGGCTTCTAGCTACTTCATGTGAATACAGAGATTGCATTTTCAAAACACTGCAACTGCTGGTTTGTTTTTGCAAATCATGTGTCCATGCATGCAATCCACACACGGAGTCACAAGTGCATTGCAGTTTGCTAATGTGTGGCAATTCAAAATTTATTTTGACCACAAAAGAACTAAAAGTCGTCACCAATCCCCAAGTCCTGATTATCAAAATTAACCACATGTAATCTTGTTGCAATTGATTGGCCACTTAAGAATTCTGAGAATCAGCAACACAGCTGAAGCTTCCCTTTCAGCCACATGTGTAGCTCTGCGCAGCTCTGAGACTGGCAAGATATGAATATTCCCTTCTCGCTCTGACTTT